TTTTAATCTTTTAAGGTAGGGATGGGGGTTCTTTGTTCTTTCTTCCTGATGCTGACTGTTGTTTGAGAAGCAACTAACAGGTTAAATTGCTTGTACAGTTATGGCCGTGTTAAGCCTGATGTTGTTGCATATGGAAGGGAAATTATGGGATCCAAGATTAGTACAGGTTGTAAAAGTTTATCAGGCACAAGTGTGGCAAGTCCTGTGGTTGCTGGTGTTGTATGCCTCCTTGTTAGTGTTATTCCTGAGGCTAAACGGAAGGATATACTAAATCCAGCAAGCATGAAACAGGCACTTGTTGAGGGGGCTGCAAAGCTTGCTGGTCCTAACATGTATGAACAGGGTGCTGGAAGAGTTGATCTGTAAGTACTTACAATCAAGGCATCATGCAAATACACAACTGACTCTTTTTTTGGTTAGAAGTTATAGTGATTTTCTGACTTCTGTGATATCATGAGTACCTCTAATTTTTAGCTTTTTTGTCAGATTAGAATCATATGAAATTTTGAGGAGCTACCAACCTCGGGCGAGCATTTTTCCTAGTACTCTCAGTTATATGGATTGCCCTTATTCTTGGCCCTTTTGCCGTCAACCGCTCTATGCTGGTGCCATGCCTGTGATATTCAATACCACAATTCTAAATGGGATGGGTGTCATTGGCTATGTTGAAAGTCCACCCACATGGCATCCCTTGGATGAGGAAGGGAATCTTCTGAGCATTCACTTCACTTATTCAGAAGTCATCTGGCCTTGGACTGGTTATTTAGCATTACACATGCAAATTAAAGAAGAAGGTGCACAGTTTACTGGGGAGATTGAGGGCAATGTGACTGTTAGCGTATATAGTCCACCAGCTCAAGGTGAAAAGGGCCCTCGAAGAAGTACTTGTATTCTTCAACTGAAATTGAAAGTCGTTCCAACCCCAGCAAGACCAAAACGTGTTTTGTGGGATCAGTTTCACAGTATCAAATACCCCCCTGGATATATTCCAAGAGATTCGTTGGATGTACGCAATGACATTCTTGACTGGCATGGGGATCACCTGCACACGAACTTCCACATTATGTTCAACATGTTACGAGATGCTGGATACTATGTTGAAACTCTCGGTTCTCCTCTTACATGCTTTGATGCTCGCCAGTATGGAACTCTTTTGATGGTTGATCTTGAAGATGAGTATTTCCCTGAAGAAATTGAAAAAGTGAGGGATGATGTTATCAACACGGGACTGGGCTTGGCTGTCTTTGCTGAGTGGTATAATGTGGACACAATGGTAAAGATGAGATTTTTTGATGATAACACACGAAGTTGGTGGACTCCAGTAACTGGAGGAGCAAATATTCCGGCATTGAATGATCTTTTGTCTTCATTTGGGATTGCTTTTGGAGATAAGATTCTGAATGGTGATTTTACAATTGATGGTGAGCAGAGTCGATATGCATCTGGAACCAATATAGCAAGGTTTCCAAGAGGTGGATATGTACACAGCTTTCCCTTCCTGGATACCTCAGAAAGTGGAGCCACTCAGAATGTACTGCTAACTTCTGGCTCGAGCACAGTAAGTATACAATTACAAGGCTTACCCTATTTTTCTGGTCAATAGCTAAATACTGAATGGTACTTGGTAAAATCTGAATTTTGAATTCTTTTAAAAAAATCTGAATGTTGAATTTTCATAATTTTTTTAGTCCATGTATTGCTGGTCGCAACTCTTGCAACAAAAGTAGGTTGCTTGATTATAGTAGAGTTATCCACTGCATTGAGAATAGTATAAATGTTGAAGTTTGACACCATCACTCTCTGAAGTCATCCTTGAAAATTTCGCTTTCCTAAAATTTCATGGATCATGCCAATTTTTAAGATGTGCCTTGATGTATACAGGCAGACTCCCCTATTCTTGGACTTCTAGAGTTGGGTGAAGGTCGAATTGCAGTTTATGGAGATTCCAACTGTTTAGACAGCAGCCATATGGTCACTCATTGTTTCTGGCTTCTAAGAAAAATACTAGATTTCACCAGTTCAAACATCAGAGATCCAGTGCTTTTCTCAGATTCCAGTAAACAGGATATGTCCTTGTATGAAGATGACAACCAATTACCATCTCGAAGGACGGACATAAATTTTTCTACATATTCTGCTGTTGTTGGAAAGGACTTAATTTGCCGCAGTGACTCAAGATTTGAAGTGTGGGGAACTAAGGGTTACAATTTACACGTTAGGGGAAGGAACAGAAGATTGCCAGGCTATCCTGTCATTGATATGGACAGAGGTTTAAATTCTACTGTTGACATTTCCAAATTGAGGCGTGCAAAGGTAGTTCAGAAGAGAGGGGGTGATTCTTCTGGAAACAAGTACTTGAGTTTGCTATATGGCAATGAGGTAATAAAAGATAAGGTGATTGGTATCTTTTCTTCGATTTTTGAGGCATTGCTGTTATCATGTATTGTTGTTTCACTTCATTTATTTTTCACTAGGAAGGGTAATATTTATGTTTCTCCCTTTCCAACTGCAGCTTGATGTGCCTGAGCTAGTTGTTAGTCATCGGATTTTACCTGCTATGATTGCAGTATCTGGTAAGTGGGACTTCAAAATTCTGGATGTGAATAACTTTATTTAGATTTTTTCAATTGATATATTTGTTGCTCGTTAGGATTTGTGTTACTTTTTAGTCTTTGGCGAATTCGGCTAAAGAGACGAAGGCGGAGGGGAGGTTCTGTCTCTGTTCGCTTAGCCAATTTATAGCAAATGATTATGTCACTTCTGAGGAGCTTTGTCTGTGAAAATGCTACCAGTCAGACTTTCACCCCAGATGAGAAAGGAAGTTTTCCATCAGATTGTGTTCTCTCTTGTTTTTTCCTCTCACTTGAGAGTTTTGCGTGCATCACAGGAAGTAGACTTGCAGATAGTTTTGTAGTGTTTGCATTCACTTGGATGCTTGCCATGGCACAAAATTTTGAAGGATGATCGGCGCCATTAGGATATACGAAAGCTTTACTTTCATATCTTTACAGAATTCAGTCTTGTTATTAGTTACCATAATACTGTGTAGCAGACATGTCCATTATGGGCAATAGACTTTTTAATCACAATTTTTTTTTTTTAACTTGCTAACTGAGAACTGAAATTTGGTGAGACAACAATTTACTCATGGAGTTACCTACACGATGGGCTACTCAAATGCTGTTGCTTTTCATCTTCCAAAAAAATTACTGCTTTTGTTCAGAAGTTACAAGTTTCAACAGTAGTTTTTTTATTTTTTTCAGGAATGAACAAATAATTTTCAATTAGTATGAACTGATGAGGTTTTTCTTTTGTTTTTGTTTTTTGTTTTTTTTTTTTTTTTTTTTTGTTTTTGTGAATTGTCAGTATGAATGAACTGTTTTTAGTTAAATATGAAGATTTTTAGTTTCATTGTAGAAAGATTGGTATGAAATTTCTAATTGTTAAGAAAATTACCTTTCCATTATCATTATGGATGGATCTATAAGAAGATACAGAATACGTGAACCTAAGCTTTATTACAAACAATATTTTCTGAAAATTGACATTCCCAAAGTTCATATGAAATTTTAATATGAAACGAAAGTATTAAACTTCAAAATTTTTATCAAATTGATAAAAAAAAAAAAAATGAAAATTTTTTTGATGTAGTCAAATATTTTGTCATCTGTAACAGTTTTCATCCTAATTAGGTTTGTTGAGTACAGATCCCAATTTAAATTAAAAGTAGTTCTACTAGATTTTCAAATGTAGCATTAATTTTTGGGTAATTATGAAAATTCCGGCTAAGAATCTTACGTCATAAATTCTGTAACGAGCATGAGTGAGATAAACATTGGAAGAAAGTATTTGTAACAGAGAATGGAGATGATATTATGAAATAGAAAACGGATGACAAATTGTTTTGGATCCACCATTTACTTTTGTTGGTCAACTTGACCTGTTTATTAAGGTGCTTAAATGGGATTTATTAATTTGGAGGTGTGGATGAGATCATTGGGTGGGGGTCTTTGAAATCATGCGCTGCTGCGTCAGAAAAGGGGAAAAGTATGATGATCCATATAATTCAGAGACTTAAATAGTTAGTGAAATGAAAAAACAGTCGATTCTCAAGAAAAAAATATATATATATAATTATAGTAATAATAACAATTCACATGGTGCTTTAGATTATACCCTGTTTACGTGTATAATTCTGTCGGCTTTATTATCATATATATATATATATATATATAATATACAAACACCATATATATTCGCTGAAAGTGAAAACAGAACATGCAGAAAACAATTGTAGAGCATATTCTCGGCGAATCTTTTATGTTCATCAACTACTTATGTTTTTAGAAATCTGATTCATAATATTTTTCATAAACTAAAGGCCTTAATTAGTTGGACATAAAAGCACATACAATGGATTCAAAACAAATTCACCAATGAATTCCACCAACCCCATCAAACTGCTGACTTTCATTTTAAGCAAAACTGACATTAACAAGTAATAATATACCATCCAAAGGCACGGAAAACGTCCCAAACAAATTTCAACAACCAAATTCATATAAACATTGCCTCAAAGAATAAAAGAATGATAATTTCCTGTATATTATGCACCTTTAAATACAAATAAACAAAAATAATAATCTCACAATTAGAGGATAAAGAACTGGGAGTGTTATCTCATTGAGAACCAATGGTATTCTTGCAATCAATACTCAATTGTTTTTAGCATTGAGAAAGGAGGGTGTGCACTGGTTGGATCTTTACAAAGAGAAAGGAAGGTGTACCGGTAGTCAAGAGCTTCCATTAAAACCTTGACTGCTTTTCTTCATCTTTCCCATCTCCATTTCCCGGGTTGTTTGGCCTTCACTACTCGAACCAGATGGGTGCAGCCCATACTCACTGGTTGGACCACTGTACTCGCTGCTACCACCATAATCGTAGCTTGCTAACGCCATTTTTCTGAACTTCTTTAAATCCTCATTATATTGGTTGGTGTCATAGTCCGAGCTTCCATGAGAACTGTAAATAGTGCTATGGCCAGGTCTGATTCCTTCGTTTAGATCAGCTAAAGATACATCGCCTTCCAGTGCCCGCACCATCTGCTTGGTTAAAGAGTTCAAATAAGAACTGAATCAATATCTTGTAACCACAGTTCAAAGCTTCTAAACGAGATAACAACATCTGTATTCTTTATAAAACCCATTGCCAGTTAATAAGTTATCTCCAAAATGTTTCCCATTAAAAAAACAACTATTGGTCCTATTTCCTGAGTAGACTAGTAGAATAAGAACACAAGATAAGAGTTGATCACAAAAATTGGACTGATTTAGAGGTGGATTTGACACTCAGAAAATTAATCAACTTCTATATGTTTGCTTTAAAAAGTTGTTTGTCAACTATTTAAAACTGAAGGTTAAGCTTCAATTAGCAAAAATCAAACCTGGCTCATTCGTGGTCGACGTCGTGCTGAATGGCGCACACATGCAGCGGCACAAGCAATCATCCGAGCCATCTCATTGTGGTCATACTGATTGTGTAACCTTGGATCAACCAAAGTGTCAAAGTTTTCATCTTCTAAAGCTCGAGTGAGCAACGGCCTTGCCTGTGATACAAAAATGTTAAGAACTAAATTCAGAGACTTGGTTTTTGAAAAGGCAACAATGAGAAGAAGCATGGTCTCGTGAAAATCGAGAACAATATGTTCCATAAACTTATGGTGGGACCCTTGATAAGAATTTTGGATACTACTTACCCAATCCACCAAACTATCATCCATGAAGGAATAAGTTGTGTCAACTGGACGGCGTCCAGTAATCAACTCCAAAAGCATGACTCCAAAAGAGAAAACATCTGACTTATCTGTGAGTTTCCCACTTGATGCATATTCTGGAGCTAAATACCTAATGATGGCAAGTGTATAAAGTATATTAAGAATCAAACAAATTATAACTCACAACAAAATCTATTTTAAAGGTCTGAAAACCATAAGAAAAAAATATTAGAAAGCATGACAACTGCAGAATTGACTCATACATATATATTACAAGCTATGAAGTGATAAAATCTACTCTTAAGTTTCAAAGGTACTTATCCCAAGCGCAGCAGCCAAGTCTTTTGGGTTTAGCATTTCAGCATGATTTAAATTGAATTTCATGGTTTCTAAATGACACTCAAGCATGTACTTTGTGGAGAGAATTAAGAAGCCAAGGACCCATCTTTTCAATTTTATTATAAGATCAAACCACAAGTCATCAAGTAACTACAAGAGTAAAGAAATCTGCCTTACCCGAAAGTACCCATCACTCGGGTCGAGACATGAGTATTGGCATCAGAAGAAAACTTTGCCAGACCAAAATCAGCAACCTGAAGGGAAAAGAAGAGCAGGTAAATCCATTCATGTCTCAACAAATCATCGCATGATGATTGAATGACCTATAGGAATCAAAATATGCTCAAGATTTCTAGGCTTCCTGATGAAGACTAGAAACCAAATGCAGACAAAGTCCACCATTTGTACATAAAACTTATTACGACTATAAGCAATTCATGACCTAGATTTCTCTGAAGTGGGATGGACCTCTCTAAATGCCAAATAAGATTATAGAGCTCAAGAAACCAATTAATTAACCAATACCTTTGCCTCAAACTTGAAGTCCAAAAGTATGTTAGCTGCCTTGATATCACGATGGATGATTTTAGGATTGCCTGCAAATGTAGACACAAATTTTTATAAACAAAAATAAAGATGCAAATTCAGTATCATAATTTCATGCATTATATATAAATAGACCATTTAGGCAGTGAAGATAAATGTACACAATTAGGGAGAGCACTCTTACAATCTTCATGAAGGTATGCCAGGCCCTTGGCAGAACCTAAAGCAATTTTCAATCTGGAAGGCCAATCCATTGTAGGTCGCCCCTTTCCTGCAATATTTTATCATGTTTTAGGTCATTCTTAAAAAACTATCAGCTTAGTGATATTCTATGACAGATTGAAATATGCAAAGACATAAATCAGCAAGAAATTGTCTAAAATAGATTGATAAATTTCATTACAATTTAAAAACCTTAATGAGACAGACTTACCATGCAAGTGAAACTCCAAAGTGTTGTTTGGAACAAACTCATAAACAAGCATTCTTTGTGTACCAGTACTGCAGTATCCAACCAAGGAAACAAGATGTTTATGATGCACCCGGCTAATGATCTCAACTTCGGCCTGAAATTCGCGCTCTCCCTGTCCACTTCCAGCCTTTAGCTGCTTGACAGCTATTTCTTTCCCGTTTGGAAGGACTCCTTTGTGTACATACCCAAAACCACCTTGTCCAAGGAGGTTTGCATCTGAGAAACCATCTGTTGCTCTTGCTAATTCGTCAATGGTAAATGTACTCTTTGAAAGACCCAGGGACAGACCAGGGGAAGGTGGTGGAAGAGGGTTTTCAGGGCCTGAATAATTAGAACCAGAGCCGCCACTGCTGCTCATGAAAGGAGGTAGTGGAGGAGAAGGATTTGGATCATATGCTGGTGGGTATGGTGGCCGTGATGCTACGGATGGAGGAGGAGAAGGCTTTGGCATTGCAGTGACAACATGATTCGCGGGTGGAGGAACATTCTGCTGCCAATATTGCTGTTGGCCGCCACCATAGGGATCATCTACAAAACGTCAATACAATTTAAATGATTAACATCTGACGGAAGATGGTTTAGCGATAGAGCAGGGTTATATGTTTGAATCTGAAAACATGAAAGCAATGAATCATGGTTTTTGTCTTTAAAAAAGTTGAATATTGTTTTCTAAGGCTAACGATTGCTAATCATACGTCAAATCTGAAATTCTGAGTAAAACCCAAGAATCATGCCATGAAATTAACTCAGAAGTCTAATGTCTACATGCAACAAATTCGGGAAAAAAAAAAATCCATACAGGTGAAACAGAACATGCAAAATCCAAATCAGTCAAGAGACTCAGATACCCATATAAACACAACTAAAAATAGAAAGAACTCACCTTTACGCCCAGGGCCAGGGGGAGGAGGTGGCACATAGTAGCCGGCCTCATCGTCTCTTCTCCTCTTTCTCCTACAACACAGAAACAACAAACTGAGCACTACGAGTACCGCCACTCCCCCGATCGCGATTCCAACCACAAGCCCCGTCGATATCCCACCACCGGGCGATGACGGAGGAGGCGGGGGCGGGCTTCGAGAAGCCGGCGGTGACGGCGTCCCCGGAATTCTGGGAGGCGGCGGAGGACTCTGTGACGCAGGAGGGGACGGCGTGGAAGGAGTCGACGGCGGAGAGGGAGTAGAAGAGGGAGGTGGAGGAGGCGACGATGAGGGAGGCGGCGACGAGGGCGTGACGGGAGGAGGCGAGGAGGGAGGCGGTGCAGAAGGGGTAGGTTGTGGAGGAGTGGGTGGAGGGGGTGGTGAAGAGGGCGGTGGGGCTGAGGGAACAGACGGTGGAGGAGAGGTAGTATTGGTAGGCGGCGGCGGAGATGCGGCCGGCGAGGGTGAGGATGACATTCCCGGAGATTAAACTATAAAACGTGAACGTTAAAATTGTCTGGCTCTCTGTCTTGTATTCTACTTAATGGGGATGGATTTTGAAGAAATTGGATTCCCAAACCAAAATTGAAAGCTGCTTCCACATGGGGAAGGTGGCTAGGCTAGTAGAGAAGAATAGTAAGGGGAATAATCCCCTGCGGCTACCACACAGTTACTAACTTTGTAGCTCCAGACCAAAATAGCTAGCTGTTCGGAGGGGCCCACGCGATTGGCCAGCGGTTTTCCTTTTTTGTTTTTATTTTCCCAAACTTGTATCTTTATATATTTTTTTTATTTTTTAATCCAAGTTATTAGGAATTAGAAACAAAAATAATGGTTTTGGAAAGTTTAATACGTTTCATGTTTCCTCTTCCAGCATGTTATTACATTCACAAATTTTAAAATAATTTTTTTTTTTTTTTTGGTTAAGTAGTTGTAACAAAAATTTGTTAATGGCTTGTATTGAGTTTAATTTAAACAACAATAATATTCCAAATTTGAGCAATTTTTATGTTTAAATAATTAGATATTTTAATAATTTATGGTTTAAAAAACAATGGAATTGAAATATATAAAAGAAACAAAATCAGAATATATATATGTATAAAAGAAAACATCCAACGTGAATGATTTAGCTATCAGGTTTGCCAAATGTTCTGTACAAGGAATAATAATTATATTTTTTTAAAGGGAGTGTTTGGTTGGGTAATTGAAAACAAAACATTCCACCAATCGCTCTTTCACTTTTAATAATAAAGAAAGCAACAAGTCTTCGAATGCCGGAGAATGCGCAATTGTTTTTACTTTCCAACGTCTCATAAAATTTAATAATTAATTAAAAATTTAACAAATATATATTTAATTAATTAACTTTATTTCGAGTAAAATGAAAACAATATAAATTCAAAATTCCATAACAACAAATACATTATTCCCTTGGAATTAAATTGATTAAAGTATAAGAATATTATTTTCTTTATTTCCTTTTTGCTGTTAATTAATTAAAAATTAACCAGCAATTAATGAGACGGAAATATTCAAATTAATTAAATCCGTTCCCAAGTTTAAGACAGCTGGATCTTCAAAACCTTTTATTCTATTCAACAATTTTGGTTTTAAAAACTAATATAATCAACAAACAAACATACGCAGTTAATTTGTAGGTCTTTAATGAATGCATTTTTCACACGGAGGTTGCCAGCTGCAGCAAAAGATTTAATAAAGGAAAGAAAGAATTTTTCAAGCTTAGAATTTTCAAAAGGGTTATCATATTGAGTTTATCACGAATTCTGAGCAAAATAGTTATAATATGTTGGTGCAGCCTGCTCATTCCTTCAATTATAATTTTTATTATTTTCCAACTAAAATTATTATTAATTAAGTAAAATAACAATGAAAAATATTATAAAACCCCAAGAAAACCCCACTCTATATTCATTCAACTTAATTGCTTAATATATATGATTTTTTTAAAAAAAAAAAAAAAAAAAATAGTGAATATATACAATTAGTTAACCTTCTTTTTTTTTTTCTTTTTTTATGTAAACGCGTGAATTTCATGAAGGTTAGACTTAATTAAGTGAGTTATTAGGGTTAATAAAATATAATTTTGCAATCGGGTGTGATAATAATAATAATAATGTTGACCGGCTTTTAATATATATATATATACATATATATGCGTTCATGGTGGGTGTAAGAGTAAGTTAAAAGCTTACAAGGAATTCACAATCAATATCAACATTTTATATATAATATAATCAAATACTCGCCGACTTGGCGTTGCTTGTAATCATATACACAACTCTTTTTTATTTATCTTAATTTGCCATTTTCTCGGATACTTTCCATGCGGCAGAGCATTTACACCTTACACCAACACTTGACCACTTCCTGTAACTGTAAATATCGTATTATAAAATCACCTTCTCATAATTTTTTTAAACACTCTATAAAATTTATTTACGATTTTTTTTTTTTTTTTAAAATTTACTTAAAACTATTATATGAATAAAATTCTATTATAAAATAAAATATTAATTTCATCGTATAATGTTACAAAGAGTTTAATTATGACAAAATCCTGTATTAAATGATATAAAGAAATTATTTGTTAAAACTAAATTAAAACATTCAACAATGACATTAAATTAATAATAATAAATAAAAAAAAAAAAAAACTACATAAAAATATCACAAATTTAATTCTCATTTAAACATATAACCCTGCCATCTTATATTTATATATTACAAACTAATTATTATTTTATAAACATCATAATCCTCTCAATTAAATGAAACCAAAAAAGTTTGAATGTCCAATTGGCTCCCTTTGGTCCTATTCTTTCCATTTGACATTTGTCTGCAAATTTACCTTTTCCTGTATACAATTTGTATTTCTCCTTGCGCAATCAAAAAAAAAAAAAAAAAAGCAGCAGCCTTTTTAGATCAGGACAAACACTTGTGTGCTTCCAATAATTCCAAAATTTAAGCCCCTCCAAACTCCCATCACCAAACTCAGGCTTCTAAACTGAGTTGATAATTTAAGAACTGGACTCTTCATCAGAGAGCATAAGATAATCAAAGACTACATGTAAAAACTGGACCTAGAAAGAATGTTAAACATAATTTGGTAGCAAATATATTCTATGAAGTTAAAAAGTGATGGTTTACAATGAAGATAAAAAAAAACAATGTGTTTCTTCTGTATGCATAACACCTAAAAACTCTGTACATCACTCACCGGGTGCCTGACACATGGAATCCCAATTTACAGTAGTTAAGAATAGTGCTCGCTGGCTGCAGGTAGAAAAAATTCACCACAACCCAGCTGCTCCGATTGTCTTCCTTTTTGCTTATTGGTAATCCTAATTGCGTAATCCTTTGATCAGTCTACTATTTTGCAGTCTTCTGCTGGAAGTAAAAAGCATCATGTTCCAGGCAATGTCCCACCAGTGCTAGAGAGTATTATGAAGGCACAGACCACGGAAAGTGAGAATACAGACACCCAAGTGTTCTCTGTATACATCTCCATCGCATCTGTAAAAGAAAATCTTGTTCGGTTTTCAGCCCAGTTTCGGAGTCTATCAGCCTCTGCAGCATACAACGCTCTTCCCTGTAAACAAGCTCGAGTGAAGGATTGCTCGAAATTACCACATACTATAAGAAACAATTATTTTTAAAAAAATTCAGTTCAATAACTCGGATGTTTAAAAACTAAGTAGAATGCAAAATAAACAAGGAGCTAGAAAGAGAAACTAGGGATGTACTTGTACTGAAAAGGGTACATTTGCTATATGCCTTGAGCTTGATAATGCTCGTTTAGTCATAAAAGATGTAAACATGTTTTCAGAAATATTTATTCCATCCTCATTTATTTAGCAGAGGATTAGTTTATTTACAACTCACAAGTTTGTTCATGCAATTTGACAAAATCTTGTAGCAGCTTAATCAGTGCTGTGAAAAGAGCCAAGATACCTGGTCATCAAACCACCGACCTCGTCGCAGCCACGCAGTGACTAAGGCAAGTAATATCCGAGGTGGAGTCAAGTAATTGATGGCTTTCCCTGTACCCCTTACAACCCGCATTCGGGGAACTAATGTTCTAGCAACTGTTTCAGGAAGCTCGCATATGATGTTAAACATTTGCTTATTTCTTACAGTTGAACCACTGCAAAAATGACCGAAACAGTGTAGACAACATCAGCATGCTTACTAAGTTGGGAAAGAACCACAACCACAGTAAAGAAAGATCTGAGAAGGCAAGTTCATCTGGTGCAACTTGGAGACATATCTCCATCAAGCATATATATTCTATTTACAAAACCATAATTGTATAATACTGTAATTAGTTGATACTGTGAAACAGACACAGAGAGAGTCCTCCAAGGAACATAGTTCAGTAAACCAACTTATGTCAGGGCTGAATTCGCTGTACCTCAAAAGCAGATCTGTAAGTACCATTCCTGGAGATGCAGTATGTACTCCAACTTTAGATTTCTTGCACTCCTTCAAAAGTGACGAATGAAGCTGCCTAAGACCACACTTTGTTGACCCATAACTATAAGTTCAAGATGATGAAAAATGTAAGCATCATCAAAAAAATAAAGTTGAAAGATTTAATATAATGTCTTTTCGCTCATTCTGGAAGGAACTAAAATTAACAACTCACACAGCAGTAAGGGGTGTGCTAGATCCCCCAGAACCAGCACCATCCATGTTAAATATGTGTCCTCCTTTAGCTTGCTTTCTCATTATATACATTGCTTCTCTGGTGCAGAGAATGGAGCCGATTAAATTTGTAGAGACAATCTGCAAAGGAATAAGCCAAAATTAAATCATATAAGATTTTCTTCCCTCTTCCATTTTGTTTCCCTAGCTGAGCTATAGCTAAGACAAAAAAGTATGATGCAAGGATAAATGACATGCCATGTAAAACAGTCATATGCCTTGGAATAAAAAGCATATAAATGCAAGTTTCCAAGAAAGTGTACAAAAAGATATGTCCAATCACTACATAAGAATGTCTCAGCATGTAATCAGCACATTCATTCCATGCATGCACGCTCACGTGCATGAACTCACACTAAGAGGACTTTGCATGTGCTTCAATATAAATGAAAACAAAAGAATCAAGAAGCATGGAGATACATAAAGATTTAACTACCTGTTTAATATCTTCATCTGTAAACTGCAGCAATGGCCTAAAACCTTTATTTGTTCCGGCATTATTTATCTGTTTCATTTGTCCAAATATAACAACTTAGAACCAAACATAGACTTTCAAGCTCAGAACAAATGGAATATAAGAATCCTGCACATTGTTGAATCTGAAATAAACAAACAAAAATTAATCTCTACTTGAGGCTGATGAGCTTGCAAATTTCGGTTCATCAGACCCCTGAGAACTGAATTTTGAATAATTCATAAGCATCTAGGATGATATAGAAGATGGATTCAATGTGCAAATGTGCAATAACTTTCTGAAGGTTTAGTCAGAATAATACAAGAAACTTAATGAAGGTCTAGTCAGAAATAATGTCATGAAATGAACATTGTCTGCCACTATGATATTATAGCCAACTTATGACTTTTCTGATTTTGTCTGTGATAAGGAACGGCAATGGGGAAACCAACCAAGGTCAACAGAACAAACAACAATAGTAAAAGGCTTAGCACGCACCCATATGTCGATATAACCAAGTTTGTCGACAGCAAAGTTTGCTAATTTGCGTACATCATCAGCTTCACAAACATCACATGCTATGCCAACCACTTTAGCATGTGCCAGGTTCTTCTTAGAGGAACCACTTGCAGTAACCACACCTTCTTTGAGGTTCTCCTCAAGTTCTTTGACAGTCATGTCAACAGATTCAGGGCTGCCTTCACAAGATCCAGGTATGAATGTAGCGTTATGAGAGCTTTAATGCATAATGATTATAGATACAAAATCACAAGTTTAGATACTAACAAGAGAAGGAAAAGATATAAATTATGATTTAACCACCTGCGAGATGTAACAACCACACGATCTCCTGAAAGAAGAAATTCTCGAGCAAGTGCTTTTCCCAATCCCCTTGTACTGCATGCAGCCAGTAAAACATGCAAACATAACATAGAAAAATAGCACATGCATAAGTTAACTACAACGATTGGAAGTTGTTGCTTATTTCCTCTCATTCGATTCCTAAATCTTGGTTATTTGATATGTAGAAGTAATTGTAATTTACACCTAACTTGTATTAACACACAAGGTGTTTTGATACAAAATGAAAACAACTTCATTCTTATCTTCAATTCCACATCTATGGGACTTTGTATTCCTCCACGTCAAGATATAAATAATAAAAACACCTAAATTGAATTGAACATACAAAATACTGGAATTTAAAATACTACTCTTATTCAAATTCCTAGTATATTTGTATTGCAATTTCGTTCATACATGGAATTGAAATTTGAAAAAGATCAGAGAGGAGCAAAACCTTCCAGTTATGACAACATTACGTGGACCAGCTCGACAATGCTCGTCTAAAACCATGTTGGCACCTATCATAGTTCCAATGATGATTCCTCCAAGCCAGCTATACCAAATTAATGTATTCATCTGACTATCCCCACCTTCACAACATTTACAGGTGATTGAATTTTTACATGAGATAAGCTAGAAACTAAGCTCAAATAATACACGCATTCCCAACATAGGAAAATGCACGATTGCTAACCTGACAACTGAAAACCAACTGCAAGTATAACCCCAGTACTCATCATGGTCACAATATACCTTCCAATTTGGATTGCAATCTAGTTGAAATCATGGAGGAATGAAATACATTAGAATAGTAAATGCACTCGCACATTAAATTAATAAAATAAAGTCTTTAGTTACTCACATGTACAGACATATATATATATATATGTATATATACTGAGCTCAGCTGACAAGAGACAATAATATGAATCACTTCAGTTATATACATGACTTTTAAGTTTTAACCATAACCACTTTGTGTTGATTATCTTTCCCAAGATAATTACAACTGAGAACCAAATTAAGCTCAATATTCATGAAAGTTGAAATTATTTCCTTTCATCAAACAATTACACAACAGCAAATATGGATATTGGAATAGAATTCAATAGATCTAAGTTCAAGCAAATTGCCAAACCACTTGGATAAAAACAAATATTAACCCCCAAAGAAGCAGAAAAGAAAGAACAAAATTCTGCATAACATGTGACTCACCGATGAGAAAACCTCCTCGAGCTTAGCCAGTGCCTTGTTATAGTCATCACTCGATTGGGAGCTCGATTTTCCAAAACCTGAAACAGCAGATTTGCAAGAACCCCAAAACCCATTTCCATTTTTGAACTTCCTCCTTTGCTCTTCCTTTAAATTTTTTATCTCCTTCTCTTCCAGTTCACTCCCATCTTCGCCCCTAAACGACCTGCACGGCAACACATGCAACCCACAGCGGCCTCTACCTAATCGTGGGCCGGACGGAAAATTCCCCAGCCGAAGCCCGGTTCCTTGATGGTCCTTTAAGCAAAAGGAAAAATGGTCTATGGATGGCGGGTAGAGATGAAGCTTTGTGAGTGTGGCCATGAATATGATTGTGGGAGAATAAGGATTAATTAGAGTATTGAGGGTTCATGAAAAGGAAGAAGGAAGTGGGCAGCCCCTTCCTTTTCTCTAGTCCAAGTGTCGAAGAAGATAAAAGTTCGAATTGATTCTCATAATTGTTTTCGAGTTTTGTTTATCCATGGAGAGGGATTTTTATAGCAAGCCACTAAAATATCAATGAAGATTTGGAAAGCAGTAGAGTCCAGAGGGAGAGTGCAGTGTGACAACCACACGTTAAAGCTACCTAATCTATAGGTGGATGGATGACACGTGGCATTGTGGGTCTGTCATTTGATTTGAAATTGAAGCTTCCACTACTGATAAGACCGAAAGCTCAGAGATGATGATGAAGACGACGACGTTACGAGGGAGTTTGTGTTGATGATTTCATGGGATTAATATAAATTTTGTTTTGATGAAACTGCCAAAAATTAAGAGGGGGAGAGTGGCGATGTAGCTTGCAAGACATGCCTGAAGTTGACTAGAAGATGAGAGACTCAATTTTTCTTCAATCAACCAGCCACCTTCTGCTCTGCGCATAATTAAGATTTTAAATTTTAAATTAAATTAAGATTAAACAAATTAACACTTGTAATTTTCCTAAGAAAAGTTTTATGTTAAAATAATTGTTATCCGACCTTAAGTTTTTTGGAAGTAAAATTTTAATTCCAATTTATAAATTAAAATTGAAAATTCAGTTTGAAAAAATTAAATCAAACAGCCCATATTTATATTACACTAGCAATCTCTTTTTAAGCATGATGCCACTTTTATTGTTTATTAGAAAAATATTTTTTTAAAAAAAAAAAAAAGTTAAATTTTTAAATGGGCCGGGTTAGGTGAGTTTGAGTGGATCGGGTTAAAGTAACATTTGGGTTGGGCCCAATATTAATGGATTGTCCAGTGTGCATGGGACTGAACTGGGTTTTCGAAGTTTAAATTGATTTGGGGTTGGAATTGGACCAGACTGGTATTTGCAGAACATAAAAAAGTTACTGTAGGCAATTTCTGGGTTTGGAGTGTTTATTAAATTTGAAAATAGATCAAACATACAAATTATATTTGAACTAATTATTTTTTAATGGTAAACTAATTAATTAAAATAAATAAAATTTCAATCATATCAAACGTGATTTGATATAATGGTGTGGGTAATTATAATAGATTAAAAAATTGGTTTAAATTTTTTTTTTTTTTTTTTTTTTTAAAAAAGAAAATCTTAATGACATTGTTACATACTCACATGGGAAACTGCTGGACAACAGCTCACACTTGTCCTCTATTTATTATTTGTTTCTTTCCCCCCATTAAAAAAAAGTGGGGAACGTACCCAATTATTATACAAGTTTTTATTCCTCATAAAATATTTGAGTCAGAGTTAGAATAATTATTCAAAAATTTAATATGTTATTGTAATTTTATCAAAACATTCTTTAATAAATTGTTTCGTGTTAATAATTAAATAATTAAGAACAAGAAAATTATGGAACAAGAGCATTAGAAAATTCTATCATGAATTTTACCATAAAATAATAAGGCATGAAACATACTTAACACCTTTTGTAATATCCAGAATTAATTTTAATATATTTAAAATTAATATATAAAATATAATTTTTATTTAATGTAAAAATTAAAAAAAATATGTGAATGATAAAATTAAAAACAATTTAGAAAAAATAAGTACAAATTTGGTTTCTAAGAATATTTTTAAAAGAAAAATTAAAAATTGATAATCAAAACACAATTTAGGAAAAATGTGAAACGTAGGATCGCCCAGTTAGTAACCCCGACGAACTGGAGCACACCGCGTGGCAAGGCATACTGATATGGTGTCATACGGGAGGCCACGCTGGTAATCCGCGTGCTCACGATCAGACGGTCTGGATTTGTTCCCGCGCGTGTGGACGGTCCGGACCCGTTCCCTCTTAAGACGCAATTGTACGGTCTAAATCAAATTATAATGAACGGTTCATATTTATTTCCTATTTAAACGCGATCGAACAGTCCAAATTAAACGTGATAGACGGCCTAAATTAAAAGGAGACTGATATAAATATCTCACTTCACACCAAATCCTAATCCTAACTGCCAGTCCCCCCCGTCGAAGAAGAAGAACCAGTCGCTGGGAAGGGAGTCGACTGCCACCTGTCGCCGCGTCGAAGCCACCTCCAACTGCCAAAAAAGGTAAAAAATTCTGTCAGTCGCTCAAAATTTGATTTTGAACACCCCCATGGCCAAATCGGAGAAAAATGATAGGCAAATGAGCCGAAAACTGCGGGTAAAGCCCGACGGCGCTGCCGTGGGAAAAATAAAAAATCGTCTCCGATGAGGCCCTTCCCGATTCTCATTTTGTGCAATTTTTTCACCATTATATTCACCATTTTGTTTCCCACAGGTTGACTGAAGAAAAATGTCCAACCGCGAAGGTGAGCCGGCAGAGTCGCCGTACCGGAAAACCTTTCTGCTGGTAAACTCCTGTTTTTTGACTTTTTTCGGTCAACTAATGCCCCTTAACATGTTTTCTCACAGGGATTAGTACAAAACTGGCCTAAAATGGCTAGTTCGAGGCAAACTGTCGTCACTGGAGCACGTCGCTGCTGCCGTGCAGAAATTTCAAAATTGGTTGGAAAGGGTTTCTAACACCGATTTTGAAATTTTTGGGGTATTTTTAGGTATTTGGAGCGTGTTTTAATCTTTGAAGAAAAATTCAGAGAACCTAGGGACCACAATAGGCACAGTTGAAAGCTTAGCGTTTCGGAGATCGATTCGAGTTAGAATCTCTCACCCTATTTTTTGTTATAAAATTGAAGTTTAATTATAAAAAATGTAGTATTTTATACAACTTAGAAAATCTCGATAATTAATCACAAGTTAATAATGGAGCCGGAACCGATTATTATTTACTATTGCTCCTATTTAATTGATTTTACTATTTTAAATGCATAATATTACACTGAAGTTGGTATGATAATTCAGTTGTGCTTTCTTCATGCATGTATTGCTTGTTTTGCGTGATTTACAGTTAAATTGTGAAACTGGAAATTAAATATTAACGGAAAATTGTTTGATTAGGTAAGTGAATGAATGATAGCCTTACTAGATATCCTGATAGATGGAGGATGGACCAGATACATAGAGAATCCTACCTGTGAACATTGCGTCATAGCACACGGGGTATGGAGGATTAGTATTTTAGCGCTCATATCGGACGGGGTATGGGGACGGTTCGTTTCACCCTCATACCAGATTGAGTATTAAGGGATGATATTTTTGGTGCTCATAACGGACGAGGTATGAGGACGGTTAGTTACTTGAAAATGTTGAATAAGGGTTCACGCGTAGTAGGGACATCCCTATGGACCCCCATGGATACCAGTAGGTAGATAAAAAGGGAAAGTTGTTGTTCTAGTTAATTGAATATGAGATTATGATATATTTGTGCTATTGTCTCTAGAGTCAGTTTTGAAATTTCGCTACGGTAAGTGTACAAAAATGAATTTACTTATG